TGCTCTAAATGTTAGTAATGGTCTTGACTACTTATTATACGGATAAAACAAAAAAAAAATTAAAACATGTCAGATGCCCAAGCTCTCTTCTAGAGATTGAACGAATGTCCGTTTTGCAGATGATGATGTGATGTGAATTAGAATGCCGATGTTTTATTATTTAAATAAGAAACTAACAATATACTGTTTTATTTTATTTTTATTTACATAATTATAATTCAGATTTCAGAGAAACGTGTTAATTTCGTAATATACATATTTATAAGTTATTTATAATTATTAATGATTATTAATTTCAGTCCAAGATATCATCATTGCAATTAATTTGCACTTCTATTGATTCTGTTTCTTCTTTCAAGGGTTTCGGCTCTCCATGTACAGTTTCAACGTGTCGTTTAACAGAAGAATGATCCGAGAATTTACGATCACATTGTGTACATTGAAAAATGAGTCCGGAATGAGTGCCCAAATGCCGACTTAGTCCGGAGGCATAGTTAAAACGTTTTGGACACAAATGACAATTGTAGTATTGGATATGAGGCACTGCTGAATGAACTTTTTTAATATGTTGAGTTAAACAAATTTTTTGTATGAACGATCGATCGCATTGTGTGCATTGATGCTTTCGCTCACCGGAATGCACATACATATGACGTGTCAAAACTTCACGTTGTACAAAAGATTTTCCACATATCTCACACTTATGTGGACGATCACCGGTATGAATGCGAAAATGTCGGGTCAAAACACTTTTGCATGAGAAAATAACATGACAAACACTGCATTTGTATGAAACGCCCTTTTCTAGAATTTTACTATGCGTTTTCATATGAATATTTAATCCGTATTCAGTAGAAAATGCCATTGGGCAGGATTTACATTTAAATGTTTTTGGTATATCTGGAGAACCGTTATGCTCAAAAGTCTTTAGAATAATTGCCGAAGTTGTGGTTTTCGTTTCTTTAATTTCAACTTTTTGAACAGAATTGACTAATGTAGCCTTTTTGTAAGTTTTATTTGATTTATTCTGAAAAAATATTTTAATTAAAGAAATTTTTAACGGGTTTTTGTTTTTTTGATATACCTTGATATCTGGAATATTATCTACGTTTTGGAATTCAATAATATCATCCATTTTAAAAATTTTGTAAACTCCCACCTTATCATCGTCTTCATTGATATCATCATCCTCAGAGCATAACAACGGAATATTTTCATTTTCAGCTATAATAAAATAAAGTAAAGTTAAATAATTCATATTTTTAATCATTTAAATATAACCAATTATAATAGTTTTGTGACCGTTTGGAGTATTGATCCATTCTTCACCAGTCATTACTTGTTTATTGACTAACGTAATCACGCCAGTTTCTATTATTAAATATTAAAGGAAAATATTTGAAAAAAGAAACTAAATAACACAATAGCTTTACCCATATCAATATTATAAGTATCAATATTCATGATTAACGGACCTTTAAGGATTTATAGAACTTTTCAAGACAATTATGTATTTTAAACAAAATTTATGACAGTACACAAATATTTATAAAATTTAAAACACAGTTCAAATGAAAACTTGACAGCTAATTATACGCGTACTATCTCAATTAACGCATTGTGACCAGTTTTTTGCTAATTGTATGGCAATTAGTTGCATTTCTATAGCAAGATTTTTAGGAATAATTTAGTTAAAAAGCAAAACTATTCACTAATAGTATGTGTTGATAAAAACAAATAAATTAAATGTAACCTATTTTAAATATTTAGATTATAATACTCAATATTTGTTGATATGAAAAGCAGAAATACAAAGGAGTGAAATGAAGTACATGACGCGAATTAGAAAAGGTTAATCTGTTGTAGGTAAGTATTTGGAAGAGTGAGCATGATCAAAATGAAAGATTCTTTCCAATTTTGTTAAAAGAGTGCAGACAAATTAATTTGTTATCAAATTTGTATGTGACGAATGACAATTACTGTTTATCTCATTGTTTCAAAAATATTTTAATGACTTGGTATACTTATACTAATTACAAACTATGGAACAGGTCTAAAAATATATATTATATATATATTATATTATATATTTAATATATTATATATGTAATATATTATATAAATATTATATTATATATATATATATTATATTATATATATTTTATATTATATATATATATTATATTATATATATATGTATATATTATATTATATATATATATATATATATATTATATTATATATATATATATATATATATATATATATATATATTATGTTATTATATTTGCTACATTACATAAAACATATACTACTATAAGTGAATTACTTACTTTCGTCATAAGAATTTTCTTCAATGATATTGTCAGTATTTACTTCCTCGAAATTCTCAGTTTCTAAATTATTTTCCAACATTTTTTCATTATCTCCCAACATTTCTTCGTCGTTGCTATCATGAGGTTCATATATAAAAAAATTCGACTCGGAATCATCGTCATCTGACATTTTGTCATCATTCTCTGTTATAATCAAAAAAGGCGTTGCTTTATCATCGCTTGAATGTGATTCCTCCACTTTAAACTTTTCCAATATTTTCATTTTATTGTTTGACTTTGCTGCATTTTGTTCAATAAATGAACGCTTGGGAAGTCGTGCCTTCACCATAGTTTTTTCCGAAATATCATTTGCCTCTTTAGCATTTCTCTTTGGATTAAGTCTTTTATAAGGTACAAAATCAGTGTTTGTATTTGGTTCATTGTCTTTGCCCAAGCGTTTATTACTAATAAATACTTCTAATTCACCCAGCAGTTCCTTACGTTCTTGTTCTCTACATTCTTGTTGAATTTCGTTTTTAACCAACGCTTTACACTCCGGTAATAGAGTTTTACGTAATTCCTTCTCTACCTCCTTGCGCAAGTCATATCTAAGTTGATCAAGAACTTCATCAATTATTTCCCGCTTAACTTCACCCTTTACCTCGTCTCGCAATTCCGATTTGCATGTTTCATATATTTCTTTTTTATATTGCGATAATTTCTTCACAACATCTTTTTCCACTAAATTTGCCCTTCTCTCGTCTTCAGCTTTTAATTTTAAATGATCAATTTGTTTTATAAAATTTAATGAATCTTCAAATTCAATTTCGTCCTCGTCATCATCGTCGGTTTTTATGAAGCACTGGCTGATCCTACCCGAATTAATTAAGCGCAGATGTTTTCGCAGCTTGGAGTCCGTTGCTTGCGAACGTTTTCGTAGTAAATAGGATTTCTCCAATTGATAACGGCATTCAGCACAGATGTATTTTGGTAAATCATCATTTCTTTGGACTTCCAAAGAAGTGCAAGCCATAATACGCATTGGAATTGACATATTTGTTGTGGCATCATTGGTTGGATGTATGCTGTAAATGGCTCCGTTCACCTTCAAGCATAATCTACACAACTTCTCTAAATTAGGATAAGTATTTTCTAACATCTTGTATGTTAGGATTTTAATACACTTTAGTCGTTATTATACTTTAGTTCAGAATGGAAATTCTTTTTTATTAAACAACAAGCGTGAAACACAAACGCAAAATAAGCCGTAAAACTGTTTGTGTGCCATTCACAGTCTTGACATTTGCGCGAGTTATATTCAATTTATTGCATTTTGTTTTGCTTCGTTGCTTCGCATTTATTGTGAATTGTTATTAAAATTTATTTCATTTGTAGATAATTGCAAAAGCCGACTACAAAGTGAAAATAATAAAAATCTGTAGAAAGTGATAAGAATTTTCATTGAAGTTTTTTAGTTATAGAAACTATAGAAGTTTGCATAATTATTTTTAATATTTTTTTAATAAAATTGTAATTATAAACTCTTAATAGTGTAAGTATAAAAGAATAATTATTAAATTATTAGTTGAAGTTTTACATAAAAAGTTTTGTGTTAAATTTTGAAAATATTGCAACCACTAGTTGCACATGGTAATTCTTCATAATGTAATAAATAAAATTTGTGCATATTGATAGGAAATATATAACAGACACATTAACCTTAATTTTTTATATAAATTGGCGTACCAATGACGAAATACAACTGAAGTAGCACCAAATTTATGTTCACCAGATGTGCATATAGAGCAGCTCCGCAAATATTTCATAAAGTCATTGAACCAAAAACAAAAGAATTAAAAAATTCACACTATTATGACGAATGCGAAGAGATATTGATACCGAAAATATAATTGTAGTTTGGTAATTCAATATATCAATATAAAATAAACGGAATTCAGTTTTGCATAATTCATATGGAGTTGTTTTTGTAAAATTTGGACGCAGTATTTTTTTCTCATTTCGATAAAAAACCGATTTACACTGCTGTTATCTAAAGAGACGTGTTGATAGATTCATTGACAGACACAAATAAAAAAAAAAACATTTGTTCAAATTTAGTTATAATAAATAATTTAATTATTTAATTAATGTTCTTTCTTTAGTATTTGCGACTAAACCCAAATTTTGAAATGTGTTCTGTTTTATCTTCCGACACAATTTTGGAATACGTTAAACTCAGTGGCGTAACTACATTTATTAGGCCCATAAGCGAATTATAATTAATTTAATAATTAATTAATTAATAATTAAAGCGTTTCTGCTTTGAGGTTATCTCACCAACAAAGTAAATCAATTATATTTATTATGCTTAATTAAATGAAAAAAAAAAAATTAATAATTAATTAACAACTAGATCTCACATACTACAAGCTGATTCGGCTGATATGCTTACACTATGGATTTCCGCTTTACAAAAGAGCATAGGTGCAGCAATACAACATGATAGTCAAAATTCCAGACCACATTCATCGTTAGCGGCAAATGCATTAAATTCCAAGCGAAAAATGTAAGTTAATTATTAAAAGCATATATTACTTATTATTAATGTATTGGATTTCTTTAATCTATAGACACTGGGAGCAATTTTTAAAAATACCAGGCAATTCAAAGTGTTGTGATTGTCGTGGCATTGATCCACGTTGGGCTTCCATTAATTTAGGCATCACATTGTGCATTGAATGTTCTGGTGTTCATCGTAGTCTTGGCGTACATTATAGTAAAGTACGTTCACTCACGTTGGATGCTTGGGAGACGGAAAATGTGAAAGTCATGATGGAGTTGGGTAATGATGTTATTAATCGTATATATGAAGCACGTATTGGTGAACACTGTGAACTGAAAGTGCCGACAGAGAACTGTGAAATCAGCGTAAGAGAGGCTTGGATTAAGGCGAAATATGTAGAGAAACGTTTTGTTTGTGCAATGCCTAAACCACATGAGTTGCTTGCTAGTGAAACTGCAGAAATACTATCCATTGATAGTGGCGGCGGTGAAGGCAGTAGCATACATAAATTAGATACTACAAGTTTATGTAAAACGTTATCTTTAGGTGCGCGAAAATGGGCAGTGAAAAAGTATCGCAGACGTGGTCATAGAAAACGCAAGCGTTCCAGTTCAAAATCTGATGAGGATGATGATAATGAATCTCTAGATATACCTTCAATGTCGTTGAGTATATCACGTGAAGACTTACTTGTTATTGGCGAAGAATTAACAACAGAGTGTCTTTCAATGCCAGCTATTCTTGGTTCAGATCAAGAATCTACAGAAGGCGAAAATGAACCAGAAGTGCTGGATGAAATCCCATTTTCGAAATTAGATGCAAATCTTATGTTGTATAAAGCGTCAAAAGTACATAATTTGCCCGTCATGTGCATGGCTTTTGCTTTGGGTGCTAATAAGCATTGGAGAAATGTGAGTGATTTCAATCGCACTTTTCTACATCAAGCCGTTTTGTCTGTGAGTGAAAAACATTTTTGATGTTATACACATATTAACATATATGAATTATATGAATTGTTTTTTACATCTCTTGTAGGGTTCAGTTATGGCTTGCGAATATTTACTTCTAAATGGTGTACCGATTGACGCAGTCGATGATAATGGTTTAAGTGCACTGCATATGTCTACAGATAAAGGTTACATCGCACAAGTGTATTTACTATTGAAACATAAAGCAAAATATGACACTGAATCAAACGATGGTAAAAAACCTTTGGATATTGCAGTTGATCAACGTAATGCCGATATTGTCACACTGTTAGTACACATTTCGGTTTATAATTATGTATATAAATAATAATAATAATATTTACTTAAAAATTTGTAGTTTACGTCTGACGCGTCTTAACGATGAAATCGGACTTAACGACGAAGGTAACGGAGAAGATGAAACTTACAAAGATGTGATGAAAGATTTTTCGCACTTTGCAGCAAGTCAACCACGTATGTTGCGAAATCGTAATGATACAAATACACTCGAATCACAACGTTCCTCATTAACGAATTCAGATTAGTTTTAACCAGCTGAAATAGTAAAATGTATTAAAGATCTGCATATCGTTGTTAGGCAAAGAAAATAAAGCACTGAAAATGAACAGGAAATTATTTGCATATATACATACGCCAGAGTGATTGACGTTTAGTTTTATTTATAACTGCTTTAAATATAAAATAATTCAATAATTTTACATGTTATTGTATGCTTCGAAATCATTCGTATTGTTAAATATTGACAAAAAAATTATATATATATTAATAAATTAATTGTATAAAAATATATTTATTATTGTATATTGTTTATATTTGTTTTAGGCAAAATTATGTTGCATTTTTAAAACAATTTATTTTGTACTTGTTATGGAGCATTTGTTTGAATTTAAATTTTAATACATTATATTTGAAATTAGTTTTTAACAAAATTAAAATACAGATATTCTGATTTCATGTTTATTAGTGTGAGTCTTTTGTAATGAATGCAAAAGCTTCATACGACAATTTAGTATACATTAAAGTAGTTATTTAAATATTCATTAAATAAAATTTTTTTATATAATTTAAAAATTGATTTTATTTCAATTTAATGTATTTTACATTTATACATTAGATCTTATATAAATTATTAAACAAATATATGTTAATATGAACATACTGTTAATAAATAAGTATATAAATTTTTGCATAATTGTAAAGTTGTTAAAATTTAAAACAAATACTTAAATAAAAATAATTGAAATATTCACTTATATGAAGATATGCTTTATAAGACTCTTATGATATTTTTGCATTTCCATTAATATATTCGAATAGAAGTGAAAAAGAAAAATATACCTTAATTCATACATAAAATACAGTAATTAATGTTTTAATTAAACATAAATTTATTTAAAATAAGACTACATATTTACAAGTAATGAGATATGATTGACTAAATGTAGAGTGAGAAAAACGATTGTTTGTGATAAAAGAAAGATTATGGTGCGGGTGGGATAATAATTGAAACTAGCCACACTTGAGCGTTTAGGAAGAATCTAACCGCTTTATTTGGTACGAGCCAAAGATTAATACGGCTTCAATTAATTTTTATTATATTACTTCAAATGTGTGATTACATATGAAATAGAGCTGGATGTGACGCACATATCGAAAAGTGACATATTTCTGCGTAGGGACTGTTTAGCACGTGGCTAAACTATGACCTAGTTAGACTAGGAGACATTACTATATGAGAAAGCGTATTTGATGCAATTATTAATAATTCACACATAACATTAGTAGTTTGGATAATGGGGAAAGATGCAAAATAAGACTTTAGATGGATCAGAATGGAAAAATTTTGTTTCCAATGTCTTGTTTTTATCAAGATATCTTCTAACTAAAGAAAGAAATCAAAAATTTAACATTGAAAAAAATCACGATAGGGAGCACGTCGGCTTAGATATAAATTATAATTTTAACTTAAGACTTACTTAAAATAATATAATCGAATTAACATATTCGTATATATTTATATAATAGTAATGCTCTAAATGTTAGTAATGGTCTTGACTACTTATTATACGCATAAAACAAAAAAAAAAAATTAAAACATGTCAGATGCTCAAGTTCTCTTCTAGAGATTGAACGAATGTCAGTTTTGCAGATGATGATGTGATGTGAATTAGAATGCCGATGTTTTATTATTTAAATAAGAAACTAACAATGTACTGTGTTATTTTATTTTTATTTACATAATTATAATTCAGATTTCAGAGAAACGTGTTAATTTCGTAATATACATATTTATAAGTTATTTATAATTATTAACGATTATTAATTTCAGTCCAAGATATCATCATTGCAATTAATTTGCACTTCTATTGATTCTGTCTCTTCTTTCAAGGGTTTCGGCTCTCCATGTACAGTTTGAACGTGTCGTTTAACAGAAGAATGATCCGAGAATTTACGATCACATTGTGTACATTGAAAAATGAGTCCGGAATGAGTGCCCAAATGCCGACTTAGTCCGGAGGCATAGTTAAAACGTTTTGGACACAAATGACAATTGTAGTATTGGATATGAGGCACTGCTGAATGAACTTTTTTAATATGTTGAGTTAAACAAATTTTTTGTATGAACGATCGATCGCATTGTGTGCATTGATGCTTTCGCTCACCGGAATGCACATACATATGACGTGTCAAAACTTCACGTTGTACAAAAGATTTTCCACATATCTCACACTTATGTGGACGATCACCGGTATGAATGCGAAAATGTCGGGTCAAAACACTTTTGCATGAGAAAATAACATGACAAACACTGCATTTGTATGAAACGCCCTTTTCTAGAATTTTACTATGCGTTTTCATATGAATATTTAATCCGTATTCAGTAGAAAATGCCATTGGGCAGGATTTACATTTAAATGTTTTTGGTATATCTGGAGAACCGTTATGCTCAAAAGTCTTTAGAATAATTGCCGAAGTTGTGGTTTTCGTTTCTTTAATTTCAACTTTTTGAACAGAATTGACTAATGTAGCCTTTTTGTAAGTTTTATTTGATTTATTCTGAAAAAATATTTTAATTAAAGAAATTTTTAACGGGTTTTTGTTTTTTTGATATACCTTGATATCTGGAATATTATCTACGTTTTGGAATTCAATAATATCATCCATTTTAAAAATTTTGTAAACTCCCACCTTATCATCGTCTTCATTGATATCATCATCCTCAGAGCATAACAACGGAATATTTTCATTTTCAGCTATAATAAAATAAAGTAAAGTTAAATAATTCATATTTTTAATCATTTAAATATAACCAATTATAATAGTTTTGTGACCGTTTGGAGTATTGATCCATTCTTCACCAGTCATTACTTGTTTATTGACTAACGTAATCACGCCAGTTTCTATTATTAAATATTAAAGGAAAATATTTGAAAAAAGAAACTAAATAACACAATAGCTTTACCCATATCAATATTATAAGTATCAATATTCATGATTAACGGACCTTTAAGGATTTATAGAACTTTTCAAGACAATTATGTATTTTAAACAAAATTTATGACAGTACACAAATATTTATAAAATTTAAAACACAGTTCAAATGAAAACTTGACAGCTAATTATACGCGTACTATCTCAATTAACGCATTGTGACCAGTTTTTTGCTAATTGTATGGCAATTAGTTGCATTTCTATAGCAAGATTTTTAGGAATAATTTAGTTAAAAAGCAAAACTATTCACTAATAGTATGTGTTGATAAAAACAAATAAATTAAATGTAACCTATTTTAAATATTTAGATTATAATACTCAATATTTGTTGATATGAAAAGCAGAAATACAAAGGAGTGAAATGAAGTACATGACGCGAATTAGAAAAGGTTAATCTGTTGTAGGTAAGTATTTGGAAGAGTGAGCATGATCAAAATGAAAGATTCTTTCCAATTTTGTTAAAAGAGTGCAGACAAATTAATTTGTTATCAAATTTGTATGTGACGAATGACAATTACTGTTTATCTCATTGTTTCAAAAATATTTTAATGACTTGGTATACTTATACTAATTACAAACTATGGAACAGGTCTAAAAATATATATTATATATATATTATATTATATATTTAATATATTATATATGTAATATATTATATAAATATTATATTATATATATATATATTATATTATATATATTTTATATTATATATATATATTATATTATATATATATGTATATATTATATTATATATATATATATATATATATATATATATATATATTATGTTATTATATTTGCTACATTACATAAAACATATACTACTATAAGTGAATTACTTACTTTCGTCATAAGAATTTTCTTCAATGATATTGTCAGTATTTACTTCCTCGAAATTCTCAGTTTCTAAATTATTTTCCAACATTTTTTCATTATCTCCCAACATTTCTTCGTCGTTGCTATCATGAGGTTCATATATAAAAAAATTCGACTCGGAATCATCGTCATCTGACATTTTGTCATCATTCTCTGTTATAATCAAAAAAGGCGTTGCTTTATCATCGCTTGAATGTGATTCCTCCACTTTAAACTTTTCCAATATTTTCATTTTATTGTTTGACTTTGCTGCATTTTGTTCAATAAATGAACGCTTGGGAAGTCGTGCCTTCACCATAGTTTTTTCCGAAATATCATTTGCCTCTTTAGCATTTCTCTTTGGATTAAGTCTTTTATAAGGTACAAAATCAGTGTTTGTATTTGGTTCATTGTCTTTGCCCAAGCGTTTATTACTAATAAATACTTCTAATTCACCCAGCAGTTCCTTACGTTCTTGTTCTCTACATTCTTGTTGAATTTCGTTTTTAACCAACGCTTTACACTCCGGTAATAGAGTTTTACGTAATTCCTTCTCTACCTCCTTGCGCAAGTCATATCTAAGTTGATCAAGAACTTCATCAATTATTTCCCGCTTAACTTCACCCTTTACCTCGTCTCGCAATTCCGATTTGCATGTTTCATATATTTCTTTTTTATATTGCGATAATTTCTTCACAACATCTTTTTCCACTAAATTTGCCCTTCTCTCGTCTTCAGCTTTTAATTTTAAATGATCAATTTGTTTTATAAAATTTAATGAATCTTCAAATTCAATTTCGTCCTCGTCATCATCGTCGGTTTTTATGAAGCACTGGCTGATCCTACCCGAATTAATTAAGCGCAGATGTTTTCGCAGCTTGGAGTCCGTTGCTTGCGAACGTTTTCGTAGTAAATAGGATTTCTCCAATTGATAACGGCATTCAGCACAGATGTATTTTGGTAAATCATCATTTCTTTGGACTTCCAAAGAAGTGCAAGCCATAATACGCATTGGAATTGACATATTTGTTGTGGCATCATTGGTTGGATGTATGCTGTAAATGGCTCCGTTCACCTTCAAGCATAATCTACACAACTTCTCTAAATTAGGATAAGTATTTTCTAACATCTTGTATGTTAGGATTTTAATACACTTTAGTCGTTATTATACTTTAGTTCAGAATGGAAATTCTTTTTTATTAAACAACAAGCGTGAAACACAAACGCAAAATAAGCCGTAAAACTGTTTGTGTGCCATTCACAGTCTTGACATTTGCGCGAGTTATATTCAATTTATTGCATTTTGTTTTGCTTCGTTGCTTCGCATTTATTGTGAATTGTTATTAAAATTTATTTCATTTGTAGATAATTGCAAAAGCCGACTACAAAGTGAAAATAATAAAAATCTGTAGAAAGTGATAAGAATTTTCATTGAAGTTTTTTAGTTATAGAAACTATAGAAGTTTGCATAATTATTTTTAATATTTTTTTAATAAAATTGTAATTATAAACTCTTAATAGTGTAAGTATAAAAGAATAATTATTAAATTATTAGTTGAAGTTTTACATAAAAAGTTTTGTGTTAAATTTTGAAAATATTGCAACCACTAGTTGCACATGGTAATTCTTCATAATGTAATAAATAAAATTTGTGCATATTGATAGGAAATATATAACAGACACATTAACCTTAATTTTTTATATAAATTGGCGTACCAATGACGAAATACAACTGAAGTAGCACCAAATTTATGTTCACCAGATGTGCATATAGAGCAGCTCCGCAAATATTTCATAAAGTCATTGAACCAAAAACAAAAGAATTAAAAAATTCACACTATTATGACGAATGCGAAGAGATATTGATACCGAAAATATAATTGTAGTTTGGTAATTCAATATATCAATATAAAATAAACGGAATTCAGTTTTGCATAATTCATATGGAGTTGTTTTTGTAAAATTTGGACGCAGTATTTTTTTCTCATTTCGATAAAAAACCGATTTACACTGCTGTTATCTAAAGAGACGTGTTGATAGATTCATTGACAGACACAAATAAAAAAAAAAACATTTGTTCAAATTTAGTTATAATAAATAATTTAATTATTTAATTAATGTTCTTTCTTTAGTATTTGCGACTAAACCCAAATTTTGAAATGTGTTCTGTTTTATCTTCCGACACAATTTTGGAATACGTTAAACTCAGTGGCGTAACTACATTTATTAGGCCCATAAGCGAATTATAATTAATTTAATAATTAATTAATTAATAATTAAAGCGTTTCTGCTTTGAGGTTATCTCACCAACAAAGTAAATCAATTATATTTATTATGCTTAATTAAATGAAAAAAAAAAAATTAATAATTAATTAACAACTAGATCTCACATACTACAAGCTGATTCGGCTGATATGCTTACACTATGGATTTCCGCTTTACAAAAGAGCATAGGTGCAGCAATACAACATGATAGTCAAAATTCCAGACCACATTCATCGTTAGCGGCAAATGCATTAAATTCCAAGCGAAAAATGTAAGTTAATTATTAAAAGCATATATTACTTATTATTAATGTATTGGATTTCTTTAATCTATAGACACTGGGAGCAATTTTTAAAAATACCAGGCAATTCAAAGTGTTGTGATTGTCGTGGCATTGATCCACGTTGGGCTTCCATTAATTTAGGCATCACATTGTGCATTGAATGTTCTGGTGTTCATCGTAGTCTTGGCGTACATTATAGTAAAGTACGTTCACTCACGTTGGATGCTTGGGAGACGGAAAATGTGAAAGTCATGATGGAGTTGGGTAATGATGTTATTAATCGTATATATGAAGCACGTATTGGTGAACACTGTGAACTGAAAGTGCCGACAGAGAACTGTGAAATCAGCGTAAGAGAGGCTTGGATTAAGGCGAAATATGTAGAGAAACGTTTTGTTTGTGCAATGCCTAAACCACATGAGTTGCTTGCTAGTGAAACTGCAGAAATACTATCCATTGATAGTGGCGGCGGTGAAGGCAGTAGCATACATAAATTAGATACTACAAGTTTATGTAAAACGTTATCTTTAGGTGCGCGAAAATGGGCAGTGAAAAAGTATCGCAGACGTGGTCATAGAAAACGCAAGCGTTCCAGTTCAAAATCTGATGAGGATGATGATAATGAATCTCTAGATATACCTTCAATGTCGTTGAGTATATCACGTGAAGACTTACTTGTTATTGGCGAAGAATTAACAACAGAGTGTCTTTCAATGCCAGCTATTCTTGGTTCAGATCAAGAATCTACAGAAGGCGAAAATGAACCAGAAGTGCTGGATGAAATCCCATTTTCGAAATTAGATGCAAATCTTATGTTGTATAAAGCGTCAAAAGTACATAATTTGCCCGTCATGTGCATGGCTTTTGCTTTGGGTGCTAATAAGCATTGGAGAAATGTGAGTGATTTCAATCGCACTTTTCTACATCAAGCCGTTTTGTCTGTGAGTGAAAAACATTTTTGATGTTATACACATATTAACATATATGAATTATATGAATTGTTTTTTACATCTCTTGTAGGGTTCAGTTATGGCTTGCGAATATTTACTTCTAAATGGTGTACCGATTGACGCAGTCGATGATAATGGTTTAAGTGCACTGCATATGTCTACAGATAAAGGTTACATCGCACAAGTGTATTTACTATTGAAACATAAAGCAAAATATGACACTGAATCAAACGATGGTAAAAAACCTTTGGATATTGCAGTTGATCAACGTAATGCCGATATTGTCACACTGTTAGTACACATTTCGGTTTATAATTATGTATATAAATAATAATAATAATATTTACTTAAAAATTTGTAGTTTACGTCTGACGCGTCTTAACGATGAAATCGGACTTAACGACGAAGGTAACGGAGAAGATGAAACTTACAAAGATGTGATGAAAGATTTTTCGCACTTTGCAGCAAGTCAACCACGTATGTTGCGAAATCGTAATGATACAAATACACTCGAATCACAACGTTCCTCATTAACGAATTCAGATTAGTTTTAACCAGCTGAAATAGTAAAATGTATTAAAGATCTGCATATCGTTGTTAGGCAAAGAAAATAAAGCACTGAAAATGAACAGGAAATTATTTGCATATATACATACGCCAGAGTGATTGACGTTTAGTTTTATTTATAACTGCTTTAAATATAAAATAATTCAATAATTTTACATGTTATTGTATGCTTCGAAATCATTCGTATTGTTAAATATTGACAAAAAAATTATATATATATTAATAAATTAATTGTATAAAAATATATTTATTATTGTATATTGTTTATATTTGTTTTAGGCAAAATTATGTTGCATTTTTAAAACAATTTATTTTGTACTTGTTATGGAGCATTTGTTTGAATTTAAATTTTAATACATTATATTTGAAATTAGTTTTTAACAAAATTAAAATACAGATATTCTGATTTCATGTTTATTAGTGTGAGTCTTTTGTAATGAATGCAAAAGCTTCATACGACAATTTAGTATACATTAAAGTAGTTATTTAAATATTCATTAAATAAAATTTTTTTATATAATTTAAAAATTGATTTTATTTCAATTTAATGTATTTTACATTTATACATTAGATCTTATATAAATTATTAAACAAATATATGTTAATATGAACATACTGTTAATAAATAAGTATATAAATTTTTGCATAATTGTAAAGTTGTTAAAATTTAAAACAAATACTTAAATAAAAATAATTGAAATATTCACTTATATGAAGATATGCTTTATAAGACTCTTATGATATTTTTGCATTTCCATTAATATATTCGAATAGAAGTGAAAAAGAAAAATATACCTTAATTCATACATAAAATACAGTAATTAATGTTTTAATTAAACATAAATTTATTTAAAATAAGACTACATATTTACAAGTAATGAGATATGATTGACTAAATGTAGAGTGAGAAAAACGATTGTTTGTGATAAAAGAAAGATTATGGTGCGGGTGGGATAATAATTGAAACTAGCCACACTTGAGCGTTTAGGAAGAATCTAACCGCTTTATTTGGTACGAGCCAAAGATTAATACGGCTTCAATTAATTTTTATTATATTACTTCAAATGTGTGATTACATGTGAAATAGAGCTGGATGTGACGCACATATCGAAAAGTGACATATTTCTGCGTAGGGACTGTTTAGCACGTGGCTAAACTATGACCTAGTTAGACTAGGAGACATTACTATATGAGAAAGCGTATTTGATGCAATTATTAATAATTCACACATAACATTAGTAGTTTGGATAATGGGGAAAGATGCAAAATAAGACTTTAGATGGATCAGAATGGAAAAATTTTGTTTCCAATGTCTTGTTTTTATCAAGATATCTTCTAACTAAAGAAAGAAATCAAAAATTTAACATTGAAAAAAATCACGATAGGGAGCACGTCGGCTTAGATATAAATTATAATTTTAACTTAAGACTTACTTAAAATAATATAATCGAATTAACATATTCGTATATATTTATATAATAGTAATGCTCTAAATGTTAGTAATGGTCTTGACTACTTATTATACGCATAAAACAAAAAAAAAAAAATTAAAACATGTCAGATGCTCAAGTTCTCTTCTAGAGATTGAACGAATGTCAGTTTTGCAGATGATGATGTGATGTGAATTAGAATGCCGATGTTTTATTATTTAAATAAGAAACTAACAATGTACTGTGTTATTTTATTTTTATTTACATAATTATAATTCAGATTTCAGAGAAACGTGTTAATTTCGTAATATACATATTTATAAGTTATTTATAATTATTAACGATTATTAATTTCAGTCCAAGATATCATCATTGCAATTAATTTGCACTTCTATTGATTCTGTCTCTTCTTTCAAGGGTTTCGGCTCTCCATGTACAGTTTGAACGTGTCGTTTAACAGAAGAATGATCCGAGAATTTACGATCACATTGTGTACATTGAAAAATGAGTCCGGAATGAGTGCCCAAATGCCGACTTAGTCCGGAGGCATAGTTAAAACGTTTTGGACACAAATGACAATTGTAGTATTGGATATGAGGCACTGCTGAATGAACTTTTTTAATATGTTGAGTTAAACAAATTTTTTGTATGAACGATCGATCGCATTGTGTGCATTGATGCTTTCGCTCACCGGAATGCACATACATATGACGTGTCAAAACTTCACGTTGTACAAAAGATTTTCCACATATCTCACACTTATGTGGACGATCACCGGTATGAATGCGAAAATGTCGGGTCAAAACACTTTTGCATGAGAAAATAACATGACAAACACTGCATTTGTATGAAACGCCCTTTTCTAGAATTTTACTATGCGTTTTCATATGAATATTTAATCCGTATTCAGTAGAAAATGCCATTGGGCAGGATTTACATTTAAATGTTTTTGGTATATCTGGAGAACCGTTATGCTCAAAAGTCTTTAGAATAATTGCCGAAGTTGTGGTTTTCGTTTCTTTAATTTCAACTTTTTGAACAGAATTGACTAATGTAGCCTTTTTGTAAGTTTTATTTGATTTATTCTGAAAAAATATTTTAATTAAAGAAATTTTTAACGGGTTTTTGTTTTTTTGATATACCTTGATATCTGGAATATTATCTACGTTTTGGAATTCAATAATATCATCCATTTTAAAAATTTTGTAAACTCCCACCTTATCATCGTCTTCATTGATATCATCATCCTCAGAGCATAACAACGGAATATTTTCATTTTCAGCTATAATAAAATAAAGTAAAGTTAAATAATTCATATTTTTAATCATTTAAATATAACCAATTATAATAGTTTTGTGACCGTTTGGAGTATTGATCCATTCTTCACCAGTCATTACTTGTTTATTGACTAACGTAATCACGCCAGTTTCTATTATTAAATATTAAAGGAAAATATTTGAAAAAAGAAACTAAATAACACAATAGCTTTACCCATATCAATATTATAAGTATCAATATTCATGATTAACGGACCTTTAAGGATTTATAGAACTTTTCAAGACAATTATGTATTTTAAACAAAATTTATGACAGTACACAAATATTTATAAAATTTAAAACACAGTTCAAATGAAAACTTGACAGCTAATTATACGCGTACTATCTCAATTAACGCATTGTGACCAGTTTTTTGCTAATTGTATGGCAATTAGTTGCATTTCTATAGCAAGATTTTTAGGAATAATTTAGTTAAAAAGCAAAACTATTCACTAATAGTATGTGTTGATAAAAACAAATAAATTAAATGTAACCTATTTTAAATATTTAGATTATAATACTCAATATTTGTTGATATGAAAAGCAGAAATACAAAGGAGTGAAATGAAGTACATGACGCGAATTAGAAAAGGTTAATCTGTTGTAGGTAAGTATTTGGAAGAGTGAGCATGATCAAAATGAAAGATTCTTTCCAATTTTGTTAAAAGAGTGCAGACAAATTAATTTGTTATCAAATTTGTATGTGACGAATGACAATTACTGTTTATCTCATTGTTTCAAAAATATTTTAATGACTTGGTATACTTATACTAATTACAAACTATGGAACAGGTCTAAAAATATATATTATATATATATTATATTATATATTTAATATATTATATATGTAATATATTATATAAATATTATATTATATATATATATATTATATTATATATATTTTATATTATATATATATATTATATTATATATATATGTATATATTATATTATATATATATATATATATATATATATATATATATATTATGT